GTCGCTCAAGCAGCTAAGGTACCAGCCACATATATCAGAGCTGATGGGTTCGAATTTGGCCTTTGCCTGTCAAACAATGACAACTACAACCAAAAAAAAAAAAAAATAGTTGGGTGTTGTGATGGGTGCCTGTAGTCCCAGCTACTTGGGAGGCTGAGGCAAGAGAATCACTTAAGCCCAGGAGTTGGAGGTTGCAGTGGGCTGTGATGCCACGGCACTCTACCCAAGGTGATAGCTTGAGACTCTGTCTCAAAAAAAAAGAAAAGAAAAGAAAAGAAAAGCTGGACCTGTGCCTGGGGTAGAAATACCAGATTCCTCTATAAACAACTAAAGCAAGGATGCGGAACCCACCAAAATCTGGGGACAGATAAAAGCTTCTCCCCCAAACACCAACTATATAATAGATTCTACAAAAATAAAGCAAGAGTTGACTGCCTTTTGGGGCAGCTATGTGGGCATGTAACCTGACCATCCCATATAGGAATGGAAAAGGTGGCTGAGTGTCAGCACCAAAGGTCCCACCAGGGTCTCCCTGCTTCCCCTCCATCTACCATATGATCCTTGGATTGAGGACCTTTTATTTCCTCCTGTGTTTCTCCCAACTCAGGCATAGAGTTTATGTATATAAAATCCATGGGACAGGCTGATAGAGAAAATTCCTGGCAATGTGGGAGCTATCCCCAAGAAGGACCCTGCAGGCAGGAAACTGGTCACTACCTGAGTGGCCACAGGAAGTGGCTTGAGCCAGGAGCAGGGAGGGAATAAGGTCTGTAGCCCTGGAGCCTCTTGCAGACCTGGGAGGGAGGCAGTGCTCACAGTAATTACCACTAGCCTCACACAGCCTGCAGCTCTCCCTGCAGGCGACTCAGCTCCTCAAGCTCCTGCTTGTGGCGATCTGTCTTGTGGGCCACCAAGGAGCGGTAGAAATGCAGGGCAAAGGCCACAAATACAAGCCCCACAGGTACCATGATTGCTGTGGAGGCCATGGCTGCTTGCCAGCCTGGCCCATAGGCCCCACCACCACCACATGCTTGCTGGGGTGGGCAGGCCTCAGAAGGCTCAGTCAGTGATGAGGCTGTAGAAACAGAGGATGGTGGGAGGTTGGAAGCTGGACTAAGAGAGGTGGCCACTGGTGGCAGAGTCCCAGCAGACACCTGGGATGCAGGCACCCCAGGGACTGGTGTATTCAAGGGGGCCCCAATAGGCACAAACTTGACCCAGCCAACCAGGACAACTTCAGCAAGGAACAGAAAGGTGCCCAAGGCAGTGGAGAAGCCCCAGGCCAGCTCCACATACCGGTGGAGTCTCTGGTGTGGTGACTGGTGGACAGAGTTGAGGTTGTGGATGTTGCTCACGGCTTCAATGTGGGGCAGCAGGCATGTGGAGACCATCAGTGCAAAGAGGTGCACAGCCACTAGCACGGTGGTGCAGGCACTAAAGGCCACTAACAGGCCTGGAGGGTATTCATGCTTTCTCTCCAGCTGTACCTCCACCATGGCCACCTGTGGGGACAAGAGGAGGTGGATTGAGTGTCCATAACCTCCCCAGCAGCGAAGGTTTTTTGGCCTGTTGATATACATCACTGATATATCCCTAGGACTAGAACAGTGCCTGGCAGAAAGAGGACTCAGCCTTTATTGAGAGAATGAATGGGCAGCCTTGGAAAAGCTCTGTCCTATTCTGGCCTTGGTTTTTCCACCTGGCTATCAAGAGGCCTGGATGACAGTTTTCTGACTGGTTCACCTTGTAATAGGAGTTGGGCTGTCTGGGTCACTCTCAGGTCTGCAATCTGTGTAATATTCAGAAAGTTGTTTAGTTTTCTCTGTGCCTCAATTTCCTATCTGGAAGTGGGAGTTGATAACAGCACCTACCTGTCTTACAGTATTGTTGTGGAAATTAAATGAGATAGTACATGTGAAGTGCTAAGAACAATGTTAGGCACACAGTAGGAACTAGGTGTTTGCTGTTTAGTTTTTGAGACAGAGTTTTAGTATGTTGCCCTTAATAGATTGCTGGGGCATCACAGCTCACAGCAACCTTAAACTCTTGGGCTTGAGTAATTCTCTTGCCTCAGCCTCCCAAGTAGCTAGGACTACAGGCGCCTACCACAAATGCCTGGATATTTTGTTGTTGTTTAGCATGTCCAGGCCAAGTTCAAACCTGCCAGCCTCAGTGTATGTGGCTGCCGCCCTAACCACTGGGCTACGGGTGCCAAGCCTGTTTGCTGTTTATTATTATAGTTAATGCTAAAGCCTGAGGCTAGAGTTTGCAAATTGGCACACCATGGACGATAGCTAGTTTGGAGATATGTTTTGCTTGGCTCACAGTGTGTTTAAAAAAAAAAAGAACTGAACAAGTTGCCATCTTTTAAAACTCAAGAGAGTTCATATATCCCCATTTCCAGATCATCTTGAAAACTTGCAAGATATGGTTACACTAGCCCCATATTCCTCCAGGGCAACTGTCAGCTGAATTGAGTCATGAATTGAGACTGGTCCCCCCCTTTGGACAGGTCATGGGGTCTTTTTTCTTTTTTTTTTTTTTTTCAGACAAAGCCTCAAGCTGTCTGTCATTGTGGGTGGAGTGCTATGGCATCACAGCTCACAGCAACCTCCAACTCCTGAGCTTAAGTGATTCTCTTGCCTCAGCCTCCCAAGTAGCTGGGACTACAGGCGCCCACAATGCCCAGCTATGTTTTGGTTATAGTTGTCATTGTTATTTGGCAGGCCTGGGCTGGATTCGAACCTGCCAGCTCTGTGGGTGGTGATTTAGCCGCTTGAGCTACAGGCGCCAAGCCCATGGGATCTCTTGATCACCAGTCTCTCTCAGGTAACTTGGTATCTATATGACCTGTCTGGTCTTTGCAGGTGTTTGAGCTGACAACCCTGTTCTAGGGATGTATAAATTTAGACTCTAGAACCAGGCTTGGCGCCTGTGGCTCAACTGGCTAAGGCGCCAGCCACATACACCTGAGCTGTCGGGTTCAAATCCGAACAATGTCGGGCCCGCCAAACAATGATAGCTGCAACCAAAAAATAGCTGGGCGTTGTGGCGGGTGCCTGTGATCCCAGCTACTTGGGAGGTGGAGGCAGGAGACTCGCTTGAGCCCAGGAGTTGGAGGTTGCTGTGAGCTGTGATGCGACAGCACTCTACCCAGGGTAACAGCTTGAGGCTCTGTCTCAAAAAAAAAAAAAAAAAGACTAGAACCAGACACTTATTTGCTTTGGGGTTTTGGGCAGGTGTCTTAACATTTCTGATCCTCAGTTCTCTCATCTGTAAAAATGGCTATAGCCGTGGTAACTATTTCACTGAATGACAGAAAGATGGTAAACATAAAGCTCCTGAGCACAATTGAATACAGTTTGTATAATATTATTATAACTCTGGCCATCTTGGTTTCAGAATTTAGATCTTTCCCTATCCCTGGTTCTTGTGAGATCCAAAAGATTGCTCTAAGGCTGAGGGAAGGAGAAGAAAGTTGCAGAGCCTGGCCAGTGGAGATAAGCAAACAAGGTGAGAGGCCAGGCACCGTGGCTCATGCCTGTAATCCCAGCACTCTAGGAGGCAGAGGAGGGTGGATCACTTGAGTTCAGGAGTTTGAAACCAGCCTGAGCAAGAGCAAGACTCCATCTCTAAAAACAGCCGGCATTGTGGGGGCCACCTATAGTCTCAGCTACTTGGGAGCCTGAGGCAAGAGGATTGCTTGAGCCCAAGAGTTGAGGTTGCTGTGGGCTATGAGACAGCACTCTACCAAGCATGGCAAAGTGAGACTCTGTCTCAAAAAACCAAACAAAACAAAAAGGAAAGAAAACAAGGTGAAGTATTTTGGGAAATTGGGCCATGGCAGGTGTCAACAGGTGTATCTCACAGACAGGGATTTGGGCCAGGCTTAGGCCTGATTTCTCCCTGAGCCTGCTCCGCTTTACTTTCCCCTGCTAGGACTGGGGCCAATCCTGCCCCCAGAACCTACACTTCCAGCCACTTTATCCTGTAGAGAAGGCCCTGTCCCTTAAGCTGTCACCCCAGCAACCTCAAATCCAGCAGCAGGCTGGATTGTCTCCTTGGGAACAGGCTGGACCATGGAGTTGACCTCCCTCATCTAGGTCTGTGGGTGGCTGCCCCGTTCCCTCTGTAGTCTATACAGATGAAGGAAAGCCAGCTCCCTGCCACCAGATGACACCACCCTCAGGAAGAGTAAAGGTGGTCTGTGGACTCTGGGATCCCACATACAAAGCCATAAACCTAGGATGACCTATATGACTAGAGACCTTCCTTTCATCTTTCAAATACAGGAGCTGTAGCACAGAAAATGGCAGAGACTAACCCAAATCACTTCATGCTATGACTCTCCACTTCAACTGCCTCTGTTATCTTCCCCTACAGAATCATGTTCCCCAAAATGCCCTACTCCAGCCCCTTTTCCTTCTGTGATGATAGTGGGAAAACCCTTAACAGTCCAGTGACCGTATGTCCTACATTCTATATCTTTCCTCTACTGAGTGCCCTTGGCAAAGCTGCTGCCCTAGAAGTGTGGTCTTCGGAGCAATCACTCATGTGTTTTGCTTTGATATGCTTGGATCTGGGGTTCCTGATGGTAAGAATCACAGCTCATCCTGGGGCGGGTACTTGGCAGGCTACAGAGAGCACACCCTCTATGATCTCACAATTTCCCACTGGCCTGCCTGTGAGGGGGTGGAGGCCTGTCCAGGGTCACACAACTGGCCATAGCAGGGAGGAGTCAGGACTACACTTGTTGATTCCTCACCCTGGCACTTCCCTAGGTCCCACTTCCTGTGATGCCACTCCTGGGACCGTTAGTGGGTATCATCCTCCCACACCTGCAACTTATCAACTTGAGAATCACTTATCAGCTTCCTAATCAACTTCCTTCCCCTGCAGCTTCTTCACAGGCACATCTTTTCTTAAAGTTCTCCTGGGTGACACTAGCACCCTTTATGCCTGCTGGGAAGTAGCCTCCTTCCTTGGGATGGACCCACCTTACATCTAGCTTATTCTCCCTAACCGCCCCCTACCCAACGTTGACACAGCCCCCACCCAGCTGACTTGCCTTCCAACCTCTTGGGGACTTAGTAACACTCCCGCCAGGAGTATGCTCCTTTTGGATCACTTTGCCCCATTGTTGCATACTCATCCCCACTGGTGACTTGTTTACCCCTTCCCTCATGACACTTTTGGGATTGCTTTATCTTCCTCATGGCCCTGTGTATAATCCTAGGGGTCTGTTACTAAGACTAAGTCCCCATAAAAAGGGACTCAATCTCTTGGGATTGTTTGTCTCCCCTCTACCCCCTACCTATCCTTCCCTTTCCTCTGCCCTGTCTTTGAGACCCCATGCTCCCCACGTGCTTCACCCCCACCCTGTGAGCCCCCTTCCCGCCCCTCACCATGGCGAAGCCCGAGAGCAGCGCAGACGTGCGGCTGGAAGCTTTGAGCTTGGCTCGGCTGAGGTAGAGGCGGCGCCAGCTGAGTGCCCGCAGCGAGTGCTGACTGGCCCCCATGAGGTCGAGGTAGCCGCGGTGCACGAATTCTCGGTACGTGGCCGAGCCCGCGGGGCTCTCAGCCTCCGGGTTCAGCGGAACCTGTTCGCCCGCGTCCCCCTCACCGCCCTTCATTCTGGGGGTGGTGACAGCACCAAGAGGGCCGGTTGGTCACGAAGGTGCTGAGGCCCCTCGGGGACCCCAGAAGGCCCGGCCCAAGCCGGGGGGAGGCCCCATACCCCGGAGGAGTGAGCTGGGATGGGGGCGGCAGGCGCCCAGGAAAAGCAAGCGTCTGCGGGCAGCCCCTAAGGCCGAAGAGGGACAGCAGAGTCCGAAACAGGAACTGGGGCAGAGGCGGAGCCGGGGCGGCCACATGATAGGGTGGAGCCGGGAAATCGAGCCCCCGAGGTCCCCGGCCTGTAGGGTAAGATCCCGAAAGACCTCGCGACCCCAGTCCATCAAAAACATCATCCAGGCGCCCAGCCCGAGACTAGGAAGTCCAGACCCCAGGTATCTAGACTTCTAAATCCTTCCCTAGCGAGCTCTGGAAAGGTGAACCCATTCATCTGTAGGGATTGCAGAGGCCTCTTCGAATCCATCGTAAGAGCCCCCTCCTCCCACAGCCCCAAGGGATGAAGCCTGCGGCCATTCCTGCCTTTAATCCGCATCCCCGAACCCCCAGACAGACACACGCAGTCCGCAGCCCCGGCTGGAAGATTTTTAGTTTTATAGCAAACCGTATTGTACAGACCCGGGGCCTAGGGACCCAGCCCGGCTGGGTCCCCAACTTGCCCATCGCCGGGCTGCTTCCTCCCCTCCCCTAAGCGGCCCCAACCTCAAGCCTTTCGTGATCCCCAGGCCCCCTCCTCTCCGGCCTTTGGTCCGCCCTGTCCCTCCCCCCACCCGCGCACCTCCCTGTTACCTGAGGTATGTGGATAGATTCCCCCCTCCCCTACATGGTATAATCCGGCTTCCCCGGGAGGCCGAGGTCCCGACTCCTCTCCGCCTCCCGGAGCCCCGCCCCTACACTGGAGGAAGGGGTGGGGGAGGGGGGGCCAAGAGTCTGTTACTCGGTTCCCATGGCAACTATGAGGGGCCATTTCCAGCCTTAGCACTGGCATCAGGTGGTGTCCATTGGCTGCTATTTCCATGGCAACCAGGAGTGGCAGTTCCCTGGGCAAATGGGATACACGTTTCCATGACGATGAAAGAGTGGGAAGAGCCAAGCTGGAGGAGTCCCATCTTCCCCATCACTGGGCGGGCACCCCCCAACCCCCAACTCGGGTCAGGAGGGATGGAGCTGCTGATACAGTAAAGCAAGAGAGACTGGGGGTGGTGCAGTCCAAACTGGGTGCCCACCAGTCCAGTCTCAGTACAAGCTGGTCCTGTCCCCTCACACTCTGGGCTCCCCCAGGTTCGAGGTTCCCCCGGTTCAAGTAACACTTCAGTACAGATGAATGTTCAAGTATTGTGCGGAGAGGCAGGCAGGGGCCTGGGGTGCCCCTCACCACTCCCCTGGACCACGAGCTGTCAGCGGGTAGGTGGGTAAGCCCGTGGCCCCCACTCCTTGCAATAGCTGCCATTTTCAGTGACGTTCAAGGAGTCAGGGTCGGGGGAAGGAACTGAAATCTGGTGAGGGGGAAAGGAGAGGCCTGACCCCTCCCAGGGGGGTACTGCTGCCCCACACCTGCTCTTGTCCCCTACCTCCAACTCAGCCCTGGCATTCCCCTGGTCTCCCTAACTCTGACACCCGGACCTCCAAATGCTCCTCTGGTTTCCCTTTTTTGGCCCACCCCACCCCCCACTCCAAAGTATCTGGTCTTTGTTCCCTGAACCCTTGGTGGTCTGCTTTCTGCCCCCTCCCCCCACCCATCTTGCACCTCCCCCAGCCCCTGGTCCCAGTATCCTGTGTGCAGATACTCTTTCCCATTCTCCCTCCCTCAAACTTGCACCTTAACCCCCCTCCCACCATCCCTTTGGCTCAGCAACCCCCAGTACCTCTGACCCACTCCCCCCAGGGGATGGACAATGAAGCAGGTGGAAGAGGGAGGAGATGGGAAGGAGAAACCCCCAGAGATATCAGTGCAGGGGGAAGAGAAGGGGGTGGCTGGCTTGAGTCCCTGGGCAGGAATCCCAAGTCATTAAACTCAGGAATCCCAAATCATGAGGTGGGTAACCTGGCCTCCCAGCAGGGGTGAAATGAAGGCTGGAGGTCCAGGCTCCTGATGGGTCCTGGGGAAGGGTGGGGGGCACCCTACTAGCTGTCCTTAAGAAGTAGCTTCTCCTCTGGGCAGCGGAAGGGGCCAGGGGGCCCGGCAGCTGCCAGCCGGGCACAAGCTTCAGGTGAGAGCTGGCGGCAGGAGCGCAGGTCTAGGCGTCGTAGCCGTGGGCAGCGGCGGAACAGCGGGAGGCAGTGGTCTGTGAGGCGGTGGCAACCTGGGGGTGGGGCAGTGGCAGCTGAGACCAGGCACATGAGTAGAGGGTAGGCACTGACCATGGGACCAGCAGACTAGCGGGACAGACAGGGGACTTTGCTTACCAGCAAGATTGAGGTGTACCAGGGTCTCACGGAGTGGGGATGTGGGGGCCGTAAGAAGGTGAACACTGGGGTCCCCAACATGGGCGCAGTGGCTCAGGTCCAGGGCACTTAGCTGGGGTGCATGGCGCAGTAGGAGCCGCAGGGAGGCATCTGTCAGCTCCAGGCCTGCCAGGCGCAGTTCTGCCACCCCCTGTAGCCGCCCACGGCTCTCAGTTTGCCCTGGGAAAACAGGAGGTCAGCATTCCTGGCCACCCTCATTCCTCCACTGAGGTACCCAGACCAGCTGTGTGTCCATGCCCATATTCCTCACCTGCTCCCGCCATAAGGGAGCCTCAACTTGCTGCACTCTGTCTGTTGGCTTGTTTTTCTCCCAAATACCCAAACAACCTGACCCCATCTCATCTGTCTATAATATTCCACATACTCTTACCACTTCCCTGCACTACTTTTTCCCTTTCCTCACCATTTCACTTATTATATACATTTTTTTTGGGGGGGGGCCGGGGCTAGGTTTGAACCTGCCACCTCCAGCATATGGGGCTGGCACCCTACCCTTTTGGACCACAGGTGCAGCCCTTATTATATACATTTTTTATTAAGCTTTCTCTTCCCCTGTAATAATGTCAGTTCCATGAAAGCACGGATTTTTGTTTTGTTCATTGTTCTAGCCTCAGCACCCAAGACACAGTAGGTGTTTGAGATTCATTAATTCATGACATCCTTAAAAACTACCATCCTAAGGCTCCTTTCCTACTTCCCTCTCTTCCACAATTAGTACAGTCCTGAGCTGGAGCCTCTCCATTCTTCCTGGTCACCACTCTGGGTTAACACCACTCTTGCACAAACTCCTGTCTCAACCTTCTCATTCACTCTAATTTCTCCTCTTCTTCCTGACACCCATAGAGAGCTGTGCTTAGACACAAATGAGACAATATCCCTCCTCTGCTAAAAAAAACTCTCTGAAGGCACCTCAAATAAGTCAGTCTTCTTGGTAGAATATTCTAATTCCTCTAAGGTCTCAGCTTCTAACTCCTCTCTTACTTCCAAATACCTAGGCCAAATTCTACAAGCGGCTACCCAAGAGACTCTGCCTGGCCAATGTCCCTGGCTTTCAAATCTGAGTTCAGGAGAGTCCACTTCCTGAACCTCCAAGGTCAAAGAGCTCACACCCCTCATCTTTGCATCCAAAGCACATGGTTTGCCTTTCTTTTATGCCTCTAGCTCTCACACAGAAGAAGTTTCAGAATCCTCTGGAAAACTAGTTAAAAGGGATTGCTAGGGGCGGCACCTATCACTCAGTGAGTAGGGCCCTGGCCCCATATACTGGAGGTGGCAGGTTCAAACCCAGCCCCGGCCAAAAACTGCAAAAAAAAAAAAAAAAAAAAAAAGGGATTGCTAGCCCTACCCCAGAGTAGGTAGGTCTACAGAGCGGCCTCAGAGTTTACTTTTCTAACAAGTTGTTCTCCAGTGATATTGACATTGCTGATCTGGATACCACACTTTAAGAACCATAGACCTCTCTGATCATCATTCCTATTTACAGATGAGAAAATTGAGGCCTAAAGCAATCTGTCCAAGATCACATAATTATGAAGTATCACAGCAAGGAAACTCAAGGTCTGGTGACTGAGTCCAAACTCTTACCACAATGCTATCTGCCTCTCTAGGCACCAGCCTAGCTATCAACTAGATCAAATGTCACAAACTCATGAAACCAGCTTCCAAAAGCGTTTTGTGTAGTCTGTATAGCAGTAAAAATTTTCTTTGATGACTAACACCACAAAAAGAATGCTTTTAAAGAAATTTAGATACCAAGTTTTTCCTTAAAAATTTTTTTTTGAAGGCTTGGCACCCGCAGCACAATGGTTACAACACTGGCCACATGCACCGAGGCTGGAGGGTTCGAACCCAGCCCAGGCCTGCTAAACAATGACAACTGCAACAGAAAAAAATAGCTGGGCATTGTGGCAGGTGCCTGTAGTTCTAGCTACTTGGGAGGCTGAGGCAAGAGAATTGCTTAAGCCCA